AAAAAAAAAAAAAAAAGAAGAAGAAGAAGAATGGGGGAGGCAGCAGGTGGCATGGAGGTTAAGGAGCCAGATCCCATTTGTGAGATTGTGCAGTTCAAGTTCTGGACCCCATGGCTTGAAATTCACACTTGATACGCATGCATGTGTGCCTAAAATCCTGAGAGGAAACTGGAGGATAAGGAATTGCAGTATGGCCATCCCTCTTGGGGGGTTATTTTTCTCTCTAGCAAGCTCACACATCCTATAGCAAAAACTTAAAAAAAAGAATGGGGATGGGAAGAACATTCCCCATTCAGGGAACAGCATATGCAGAGACTTTCAAATAGGAAAAGCAGCTTTGTATGATTAAGAATCTGAAAGAAAGCCATCAGGAATGGAAAAGAGAGTGGGAGGAGATGAGGTTGGAGAGGTGGGCAGGGCCTGCTTATTGAGGACTTTGTAGACCAAGTAGGGGGTTTAGGTATTTTAGTAGTGGGAGGCTTCTGAAAGCTTTTAATAGATATGTTCCTATTAACATTTTACAAATATCACTCTGATTGCTTATGGAAAATGATCAGAGGGTTTGACTAAACAGAAATAAGGAGACTGATTAGGAAGCTGTTGCACTAATTCAGGTGCAAGAGGCAAGAGCAGACAGATTTCTTGAGAATGGACAGGTTAAATCGTTAGGTTGAATGTGAGGGCCAAGGAATAAGAGGTCAAGGGTGCTCATTCCTAAGTGTCTGATTTGAATAGCTGCATAGAAGATAATGCCATGTATTGAATTGGAGACCACTAGGGGAGGAATAGAGTTGAAATCTATCACACCCAGGGTGATTTCTCCTCTCTTCTCTTGGGATTTTTTGGGGCACAGAAGCGCACGCACCTAGCATGTTTCAAGTCTCTGGGTCCAGGACTAGAAATGTGATTGCCCATGTGGAAGTCCAGTGCCTTAACCACTGTGCCATGTGCTAGCTCCAACATTTCTAAAACAACCAGAATGGGTAAGATCTCCTCACAAGAAAGTACAGAAAAAGAAGAAA